AAAGGAAACCACAACGAGCGTTTTTCCGCGGGGTGGACCCCTGGGGAGTCGTGCTCGGGCCCCAGGACACTCACAATACAACCAGTGACCAACAAAAATGGCCAGGGGATGGGTTCGAGAGCCAAAGGTCTGGAAAGATAGTGGAGTAACGATTGCTGTCTTTGTGCGCGGCACGTTGCAAACACACACGCGACGGCAAACCAAGTCACGGCGAAAGCGAATCGGCGGCAAATGCAAACTTAGGACGATACGGCCAAGCGGAGGAGGACGAACGGAATTGCCGCAGGCAGCTACACACTCAGAACGGAGATCCACTGGTCGCCATAAACATTCGCCCCCGCCACAATAGGGGCAGAGTGGGCGGCCGCCATGGAGCCAACAGCACCAGGCATCAGTGACTACCAAGACAGCGGCGGAGCAGAGTTGACGGAAGAGGAGCAGCAACAGGAGAGCGGCAGCAGCAGCAGCAACAGGAAGAGCTGCTGGCCCAACGGGGCAACGGGGACGCTCAGGCAGCCGGCTCTCGCCGAGGGGCGGCTGCCTCCGCCCCGCACGCTCGCGCCGCCGACGCCGTCGGCCGTCGCCGGGCGCCGCCGCCGCCGCCATCCTCATCGCCGTCGCCGTCGCCGTGCTCGCCGTCGTCATGCTCGCTCTCGTCGCCGTCGTCGCCGTCGTCGTCCTCGTCTGCGACGTCGCCGTCGGCCCAGTCACAGCCGTTGTCCTCATCCCTGTCCTCGTCGTCGTGGTGCCTCTCGCCTTGGCCGCCGTCGAGTCCGCCGCCGCCACCGTTGTCCTCGTAATCCTCATGCTCCTCTTCCTTCTCCTCCTCCTTCTCCTTCTCCTCCTCCTCCTCCTCCTCCTCCTCCTCCTCCTCCTCCTCCTCCTCCTCCTCCTCCTCCTCCTCCTCCTCCTCCTCCTCTCCTCCTCCTCCTCCTCCTCCTCCTCCTCCTCCTCTTCCTCGTCCTCCTGCTCCTCCTCGTGGTCCTCCTCCTCTCTTCCTCGTCCTCCGCCTCCTCCTCCTCCTCCTCCTCCTCCTCATCCTCCTCCTCATCATCATCATCATCATCATCATCATCATCATCAGCAGCAGCCAGCAGCAGCACCATCATCATCATCATCATCATCATCATCATCATCATCATCATCATCATCATCATCATCATCATCATCAGCATAGCATCACATCATCATCATCTCATCATCATCATCATCATCATCATCATCAGCATCATCATCATCATTCATCATCATCATCATCAGCAGCATCAGCATCAGCATCAGCATCAGCATCAACATCATCATCATCATCATCATCATCATCATCATCGTCATCAGCATCAGCATCATCATCATCATCATCAACAGCAGCAGCAGCATTAGCATAATCATCATCATCATCATCAGCAGCATCATCAGCAGCATCATCATCATCATCATCAGCATCATCAGCAGCATCAGCATCAGCATCAGCATCAGCATCAACATCATCATCATCATCATCATCAGCATCATCATCATCATCATCGTCGTCATCGTCCTCGTCATCAACATAATCGTCATTTTCAGCATCATCAGATTCATCATCATCACAATCATCATCATCATCATCATCATCATCATCATCATCATCATCATCATCATCATCATCATCATCATCATCATCATCATCATCATACTTCTCGTCAGCCTCTGCACTGCAGCCCTCTCCTATCCTGAGGCGCAAGCCGGAGAGCTAGGCCCACACCGACGCCCCAACGCGCGGCGGGGGATGGCGTGGCCGCTGCACGCCACGGAGCATCCGCGCGCCAGTCCTAGGGCCCAGGGTGAAGAGGACGACGAGGGGGTCCCAAGCTGAACCCTAACAGTTCGAGGCCACTCGTGCTCAGGGCCCCCCCTCCAAACCCGATCTCTGCACCGCTTAAGGATTCAGAACATCGGAGCTGCCGGGTGGGACACTCGCAGGCGGTCCAACCCGCCAGCCACTCTGACGGCAACCAAGAATCAAAGAGTGCGCCAGGGCCTCACCCTCAGGAAGGAGCCTCTTGTGCAGTGCCATGGCGGCGTGAACCTTGGGGAAGACAGCTCGAACGGCGGGATCGTGTTCTGACCACTTGGGCGTTGGCTTCTGACACTGCGTGGAATTCCTCCACCTTGAGCGATCGGGTTTCTCCGACAGCGCTGCTCGTTTGACGTTGGACACACGACCGCTGGCGGCGTTCGACCTGGAACGCCCGCGGTGGGGTCGCCGCTGCGTCGACACGGCACGAATCTACCGTACCCCCCACGTTCGTGTTCTGACGCCTTGGGTGACTGGCTTCTGACACCGCGTGGATCGTTCAACCTTGCACGATCGGGGTTCCCCGATAGTGCTGATCGCTTGACGTTGGACGAATGGCCGCTGGCGGCGTTCAACCTGGAACGCCCGCGGCGGGTCGCCGCTGCGTCGACACGGCACGAACCTGCCGTACCTCCTTGGGTGCCGCGAAACGTTCTGACGCCTTGAACGTTGGCTTCTGACGCTGCGTGAATCGTTCCACCTTGAGCGATCGGGGCTATGTGAAAATGCAAGCAACCGTTTGTTCTGAATCGGCGATAACCCGGGTTATCCGCGGGGGGGGGAGGAGGGGCAGGCCGATAACCTAACCTTCGCGCGGTGGCTAGCCCTGCATATACCCGCGCCCCCCCCCACCCCGAACCTGCACAGCCGGCAAGGTTAGGTTATCCTGGGGGGGAGGGGGGACGGGGGGCAAGCCCGATAACCCGGGTTATCGCGGGACCCTAAAAAAATGTCTTCAGATCTTCTCCGCTCAGAACCTGGCCAAGGTCTGCAACTCGGTTTCCGCAGGTGGCGGGGCCAAGGCAACCTGGACGGCCACCTGTGCGGAAAAGCACGCCAGGCTGCGCCCCTGGCCACTGTGCTCGGAGGCAACTGCCGGGAGCTCTTTGTCGGAAGGATCGGGGAGAACTAAGCTTCCGTCGGGCCTGTCCCTCTACAGGAGAATATTCAAAAATAGTCAAAAAAATAGTCAGGGGGTGATTTTTTCATATTTTTGCCATTGTTGCATATTCGTCCCAAATCGGCCTGTAGGGGGACAACCTCCCAGGAGCTGCATCGGAAACAGTGGTCGTGACAGTGCGCCTGCCCCACGAGGCCGCCCTGTGGAGAGTCCAGAAGTGCATGGCGCAGATCGCTCTCAAGTGCTGAACGAACGGCCGCTGGCGGCGGTCGACCTCGAGCGCCCGCGGCGGGGTCGCCGCCCCGTCGGCACGACGAGGACCTGCCAGGCCTCTCGGGGCCTCTCTGTGCGCAGGTCCCGAGCCCTGCCCGCGCCCCAGGGGGAGCCTGCGCAGACGTGCCGGAGGAAGCAACTGGTGGGCACCCCCCGTCACCGCTCCCCAGAAGCTCAGGTTGGCACACGCGGGGGGAAGACTGCGGTCGAAGTGCAGCTCGTTCCACCCACCGCCAACCTTGATCATTGGGGGGGGGCATTGACAGATGAATGCGGCACGAGTGTTCGCTAATATCATCCGAGGTCTGGGTCACCCCCTCGGCCCGCGTCCCCGCCGCGCTCGTGGAGCTCTCGAGAGCTCCGGCCGAGAGACCGTCCGCGTCATGTCGCCCGTCACCTGCTCGGGACAGTCGGGCGTCGGGGGCCTCCTGCACGGTGGACGAGGCACCCCTGCATGGGGTTCAGAGATGGGGCCCTGAGGGATGAGGCCATGAGGGATGGGGCCCCAAGGTTACGGTGGAGGCTAGTCCACAAGGAACCTTCCACAAGAAACCCAACCCTGAGACTCCAGGACGTCGATCGATTTTGGGTGTGGGAGCGTCGCACTTTCCACAGCAAAACCATCGAAACCGCAGAAACCCAGGGCACCCAGGAGGCAAGCAGGGTGTTTCTTGGCATGGGCCTCCACTGCACGAATGGGTCCAGAGCTGAACCCACATGTTGAGGCCACTCGTCCTCAGGGCTCGATCCCTCGGGGCCCCATCCCGCAGAGTCCCTGGGTCACCCAGCTTCGCGCATCGCGCCCCGCGATGCGCGACTCGCGGTCACCTTCGCGTGAGGGGCAACGATAGGGGGGGACTGGCAGAGGGGGAAGCATCGACCTGGAATCGGCGATACATCGCCGATAGATCGGCGATAGGCCCCCGATAGTGAATCCGAACCTTCCTGTGTAGGTTGGAGCTATCGGGCCCCAATCGGCGATCGATGGGCGATTTGGGGTCGATGCATCCCCCCCTGTGCCTATCCCCCCTATCGTTGCCCCTGATTCGCGCCCTCGCGCCGACGCCCTGGAGAAGGGCACCTCGGCGGCCCAGGTCGCGATGCGCGAGGCTCGATCATCTTGCAGCTCCCGCGGATCACTTCGGATTGCTGGCATCGGGGCTGCTGGGTGGGACTACCATTAGATCGGGCCTGTCCCCCTACAGGGGGAAGTTGGACGAAAAGAAAAAGTAGTCCAAAAATAATCGACAAATGCTCAAAAATAGTCAAAATATCGTCTCCTGACTATTTTTTGACTATGCTTGAATATTCCTCCTGTAGAGGGACATCCGTGGGCAGTCCACCCCCCACTCTGACGGGTCAGAGAGGGTGCGCCCAGGCCTGGTCATCAGGAGAAGGCGCCACCTCTGCAGTGCCACGCTCCGCTGCACCCAAGCGGGATGCCTGGGCCGGGGCAAAGAGAGGGCGGACGGAGGCCTCATCTGCTCCGCCTATCGTTCGCCGTTGTTCCTGCCAGGTGATAGGGGGTGCCGCTTGTACCGCAGCTCTTGGGCCTCCGCAAGGCGGAGGTGGAGCCCCGCGAAGCTGACTTCAAAATCAGCCTCCCGCGCGCGCCCGCTTCGTCACTCGTCCTCGTGGAGCTCGCGCGTGCATGGCAACGTGAGTGGATCCTGAAGCTGGGCTGCGAGATGTCGAAGTGCTGCCACAGGACACGTCTGGCTAGGAGCACCCTCAGCTCGCTGCCCAGGCAGGGCGCCGACTCCCTCTGCGTTAAGCCTCCGCGTGCTGCTTGGCCTTGTCACTCGTGCCGTTCACCGGCGCACCAGCGGCCTGGAGCACACGGTCGAGCCCATCGACGCTCCGGCTCTGATTCTCAGGCGAGGCCGGCTGCCTCCGCAGCCGCGTGCGGGCACTTCCGTTCACGGCCGCGAGAGCCTCTGCCTGCCTGCTGCTCTCGCTCGACTGCTTCCGCAAGCGGGAGCTGCCGCTCTCGTTCACCGCTGCGAGCTCCTTCTGCTGTCTTCGGAGCTCGGCCGCCTGGGCGCGCAGCTCGGAGCGGTCGCTCTCGCTCATGACCCTGAGGCTCTCCAACTGCTCCCGAAGCTCGGACACCTGCCTCCGAAGCTCGGAGCGGGCGCTCGCGTTCACGGCCGCGATGTCGTCCCCCTCGTGCCTCCGAAGCTCGGACACCTGCCTGCGAAGCTCGGAGCGGGTGCTGTCGTTCACGGCCGCGATGTCGTCACCCTCCTGTGTCTGAAGCGCGGACACCCGCTTCCGAAGCTCCGAGCGGACGCTGTCGTTAACGGCAGCGATGTCGCCCCCCTCCTGCCTACGAAGCGCGGACACCTGCTCGCGCAGCTCGGCGCGAGCGCTGTTGTTTATGGCCGCGACGTCATCCCTCTCATGCCCGCGAAGCAACGACACCTGCCTCCGCAGCTCGGAGCGGGCACTGTCGCTCACAGCCGCGATGTCGTCACCCTCCCGTGTTCGAAGCGCGGACGCCTGCCTCCGCAGCTCGGCGAGGACGCTCTCGTTCACAGCCACGGTGTCGTCACCCTCCTGCGTCCGAAGCGCGGACGCCTGCTTCCGCAGCTCGGAGCGGGCGCTCTCGTTCACGGCCTCGAGGTCCGCCTCCTGCCTCCGAAGCGCGGACGCCTGCACTCGCAGCTCGGACTCGGCGGTGCCGTTCACGGCCTCGAGGTCCTCCGCCTGCCTCCGCAGCTCGGAGCGGACGCTCTCGTTCAAGGACTCGAGGCCCCCCTCCTGTGTCCGAAGCGCGGACGCCTGCCTCTGCAGCTCGGAGCGAACGCTGTCGTTTACATCCGCGATCTCGCCCTCCACCTGCACCCGAAGCTCGGACACCTGCCTCCGAAGCTCGGAGCGAGCGCTCTCGTTCACGGCCTCGAGGTCCTCCGCCTGCCTCCGAAGCTCGGACGCCTGCTCTGCCAGTTCGGACTCGGCGGTCCTGTTCACGGCCTCGAGCTTCTGCTTGGACCTCAGGAATTCCAGCCTCAGGTTCTCAGAGGCAGAGACCGCCCCGGTGGCCGTGGAGTTGACCTCGGCGAGGGCATCCCTCTCCCGCCTGACGCCGTCCTGGGCCTTCTCGGCGTGATCCAGCCCCCGCTGGGCAGCCTTCCTCGCGTCCGCGATCTCGTTGGATATCTCCTTCACGGTGTTCTCGGTGCCCTCCGCGGTCGCCGCCGCCGCCCTGGCCGTGCCGTTGACCGCCACGATGTCGTTGGAGTCCTGCGTGGCAAGCTGGTCCGCCTGCCTGGCTACGGACTGCACGTCTCCAATGCTGCGGTTCAGCCGCTCGACATCCCTCTCCTCTGAGCGCCGAGCGGCAGCGAGGCTCCCGCGTGAAGCAGCCTCTCGGCGGCGCGGCGCCACAGGGGGGAGGAGCTCGGGGGGGAGGGCTCAAGAGCAGGCATGGGGGTCTTCTGAGAGGGAGGGGGGGGGGGCGGCCTTCATGAAGATCACGCGCCCCGTGCCGCTTTCTGCAGCCGACACGCTGAAATAAAGAACGACTCCTCGAATAAGTGGATCGATGACAACATTCATGCACCTCATAGCCGATCCCCCCCGTCGAGAGCTCTCGAACACGTAGGGAATCTCCCGCAGATCTGCGGGACAGTCTACGCACTTCTTGCGCACCCAATGGGGAGATCACTCCTGGAGTAAAGAAAAACACTTCTGTGGTCGATCCCCGGTTCGAGCTCTGGGCTCAGGGAGGGAGGCTCTGGCCTCCGGGCCGCCCCCGCGGGAACGGCCGAGGCCGCTCTCGTGGCCAAGGCTGAAGTCGGGCACGTCCCTCTACAGGAGGAATATTCAAAAGAAGTAGAATTAAAAAAATAGTCGGGGGACGATGTTTTGACTATGTTTGAGCATTTTTGTGTATTTGTAGGGGGACACGCCCGACCTAAGGGGACACGCCCGACCTGTAGGGGGACACGCCTGTAGGGGGACACGCCCGACCTAAGCCAAGGCCCGCGGTGGCCAGAAGAAAGCCCCTTCGCTCCTCATGCAGCACCCCTCGCGGCAGAAGCCCAGGCTGAAGAACATTCGAGGGCACCCTCCCCCAGGATGCACAGGAGCATCCAGCAAGCACGGCGAACATCAGGGCACCCTCCCAGAACCGACCTCGATCTTACACATCGGGCCGACTGCAGCGCGATGGCGGGGGGCTGCCTTGGAAGGCCGGCCCGCCCCGGACCAGAATCCGCGCAAAACGAGCCCCCGTGGACCCCCTTCATGAGGGGCAACGACCGGGGGGGAACAAGCTCAGGGAAGGGACACGTCGAGCTGGAATCGGCGATACATCACCGATAGAGCGGCGACAGGCCCCCGATAGCGAATCCGCACCCTCCTGGGCGGGGTGGGCTTTTGGGTCCCTATCGGTGATGAATGGGTGATTGGGGGACGATGCATCCGCCCCTGAGCCCTTCCCCCAATGATCCTCCTCGGCTGGCTTTTGGGTCAAAGCTCGGGTCTCCGGCGACCCTTCGGGAGGATCCGGTCGGCGAGGCGCAGCCGCTGGAGAGCACCTCGAGGCTGGGAAACCGCCAGGAGGCGACGAAAACACCCGAAAACCTCTTGCTCTGGAACCCGAGACGCCTCCCCCGGGAGCCCCCCGCCCCCCCCAACGTCGCCGCGAGCTCCAGGAGCCCACCCCGCACGGCTTCTCGAGCACGCCTGGCCGCAGCGACGAGGGGAGGCCGCCCTGGCAGAGGCCCCCAGCACTTGAGCAGGGACCGGCCGTCCCGGCATTCCTATAGGCATACCACGACATGTTCTTAGAACCCAAAAATGCTCCAAGAACAAATGAACAATGTTCTTAGAGCACAAGCCCGACGTGTCAAAACGAGACAGCCCCAGTCAGACAGACTCTGAGAACGTTTCGTGCAGACCACCAAAAAGCACTCTGTGGCGGGCCTATAGGCGAGCTCGGACGCTTCGCCACTGCTTGAAGCACGAGGCCCTCTCCCTCTCTCTCTCGGAGGGCCGCCCCCCGGCCGCCCCCTGCCCCTCGTCGTGGTGCCCGCCGCCGATCCTCCACGGCGCCGAGCCAGCCTTGGCGACCGCGAAAAGGGCGTGGTTTTTGCAGAGGGTGCGGTTGGCAGCCCGCGCCTACTCTGGGCTCGTCAATCAGCTGTTTTGCTATGTTTTGACTATTTCCGATAGGCTCTAAAGTTTAAAATCGCCCTCATCGTTGCGCCTACTCTGTGCTTCTCAATCAGCTGTTTTACTACGGTTTGACTATTTCCAATAAGCTCTAAATTCAAAAATCGCCCTCATCTTTTTTTGTGCTATTTCTGGAGATTCCTCCTTTAGAGGGACGTGCCCAACTTTCGCCTTGGCCACGAGAGCGGCCTCGGCCGTTCTCGGGGGGCGGCCCGGAGGTCAGAGCCTCCCTCCTTGAGCCCAGAGTTCGCACCGGGGATCGACTACAGCAGCGATTTTTTACTCCAGAGGTGATTTCCCCATCGGGTGCACGCGAAGTGCGTACTCTGGGTCTTAATGAGCGTGGGGGGGTACCTCCCCTAAGAGGGTCAACCTCGCCTCGTCGTCGCTCCGCGACGGGGGTCGGAGTGCCTTCGGCGCGCGGTGGCCGCCCACGACGGGGGTCGATGTGGGGCTGTCGGCGGGAGTGACGCCCCCCCGACGCTGATCAAGAAACTCGGGGTAAGGGGGGGGGGGGGGCGGGCGGGCGAGGACCTCGACAGAGTTCCCCGCCGCGCCCCGACGAGTCCCGACGAGGGCAGCGTGGTGCCCCCCCTAGGCTCCCACGGCGCAGGTCGCGAACCGCACCCCGGCATAAAACCGCACCCTCTGCCCAGGTGCTGCTAAAAGGGCCCCTGGTCCACGGTGCCCCCAGGACTTCCAGGGAGGAGGCCCCCGCTCCAGAGAACCCCTCACGAGGCCCAGGGGGCCCGATGGGCTCCAGAACAAAACGAAAAACGGGGGGCACTGGGCCAGGGGGTATCTTTAGCAACCCCCCCATTTGTGGTCGCCGGCTGCCGCTGAGGTTCTCGAGCTCCAGGCTCCAGTTCCGCGCCGCGGCCAGGCGCGCCTCGCGCTGCCGCGCGACCCCCGCCCTGGCCTGGTACGCGGTCGCGTTGATGCGCACGAGGTCCGCGTGCTCGTGGAGGATCCGCCATCGCTCGAGTACGAGATCCATGAATTCTGTAGTCGATCCCCAGCTCGAATCGTGCCAGGTGCCAGACCAGGTGCTCAGGGCTTACTGTATTCCCGCCCAGGCCAACCCAAAGAGCCCCCGGGGAACTGCCCAAAGGGCCCCCCCCAGAAGGGTTCCTCCAGCAGGGCCCCGAGGCCCCGAGGCCCCGAAGGGCTCCTCGGACCAGAGACCCCCGGACGCCCCTCACAGACACGGTGGCGGGATGGGCCGCAGGCCTCCAGATGCTGGCGTTTGCCTGGCGGAGCACGCTCTCGATCGCCGACGCGTGCTGCTGGAGCACGCTGAAACTCGCCTTGTGCCTGCGAGAGGCCGCCCAGGCGGCGGTGGCGGTCGAGTTCGCTCGCTCGGCGGTCTGGTTGGTGCTCCTCTCAGGGCCATGCTGCCGGCAATGTTGTCCAACGGCGATGTAAAATAGTTTCTGCGACGCCCAACTCGCACAGAACAGACTGTAGGAAAACGCGAGCAAGCCTTGGCCCCGAACCACCCCCACCTACAAGTACCGAAACCTGCATCGCCGTTACCTACATCGCCGTTAGCGTGTCTACGGTCCTCAGTGCCGCCTCCTGCTGCTGGAATTTTCGCCCGACGTGTTCGGACAAGGCATTCTGCTCGCGCCTTAACCGCTCGATGCCCCTCTCCGAGGCCGCCGCGGATGCGCCGATCTTCTTGACGCTCTCGTTCACGGCCTGGAGGTTCCTCCACAGCTCATCGTCTGCGGACTGGAGCGAGCGGTGGGACTCCAGCGCATTTTCTACGAGGCTGTTGTTTATCTCGGTCTCTGTGTTGCTCATCCTGTCGACGGTCTTTTCGTTATGATTCTCCCAGTCCGCGACGTCCCGGATGGCGTCCTCGATATCAGAGATGCGATCTCCGAAGCTGTGGGTGAAATTACGCGCCTGCTCTTCGGTGCGCTGGGTCAAACTGTTGAGGCGATCCTCGAACATCTTGTTCTGACGAACAAGTCCGTCCATGCGCTTCCGAATCTGGTTGTCCTGTACCACCTTCTGGAGGATCAAATAGAGCAGGAAGATCACGACGAGGAGCAGCATCATCATCTTCTGTGATACCGCCCAGTACAGCCAGGAGCTGCACTTCCGCCACCGGCCCTGCAGCGGCTGTAGCTTGGCCGCAAGCTCCTTGGCCCTGCTGAGCTCGCTGAGGGTGATCTCGACGTTCTTCACGCGCTTCCCCCAGTCGTCCCTGAGCTGCAGGTGGCTCTCCACCTCGGCGTCCAGCTTCTTCTCCATCTCGAGGACTCGCTTGAGGATGCCGCTCATCCCCTCGTGGTCGTGGGCCTCGCGAATGTTGACCACGATCGGGCACTGCGTGGACGACGGCCGCCGGATGGTCTCCGCCGTCACCGGGTGCTGAGCGGCCGTGGTCAGCTCCCAGCCGTTCGGGGCGCCGACCCAATCCTCGACGATGTCGGCGAGGTCCTCGAGCGTCCGCACGCGGACGTCCTTCCAGCTGCCGTGCTTGGGGGTCGGGCCGCCGGCCAAAAAGGGCCCCGTGAACTTCAGCCGCACCACCGTGGGCCTCTCCAGGAGCTCCTCCTGCAGCATCAGCCCCTGGGTGCCCCGCGGAGGCGGCATCGCGGGGGCCCCGCGACGTGCCACGCCAAGGTGGGGAAGCCAGAAGGCACCGCGACCGCTCCCCACGAGCGGCTGACGCATCCTTCTCCGCCCCCTCGCGGGCTGGGTTCCAGGGCGCGGTCCCGCGACTGCGCGGTCGCACATATGCGTCCTTCGGGAAAAAAACGCCCCGCATCCGCGGGGTCGCGGCCCAGGGGCCCGGCCCGCGAGGCCGCGGATACGGACATGTGTTCCGCCCACGAGCTGCTCCTCGGACCTCTCCCGGGCTGCGCTCTGACCAGAGCGTAGAGGCGAAGTCAGCCGTAGCGACGAGGGCCTCCAAGGAGGCCCAAGGAAAGGCCCAAACGAGGCAAGGGCAGCGGAATCGGTATCGGCGCATCCTCCTCCTCCTCCGAGCTGGGGGAACCGCGGGGAGACGCCCCCCAGAGGGCCACAGTCAAGCGTGGGCCCAAAAGCCACAGGACCGGCTGGCTCACGCCGGCCAGGGCCCCGCGAGGCGCCAGTCGCGGGGCCAGGGCGCCTGGGCGGCAGGGCTGCTACCAGAGCGGCTCGAGCGCGGAACGCTGGGGCACAGGGCCGCCCCGCGAGCCGAGGAAGCGGCGGCGGGGACTCAGACAGAGCCGACTTGCACGTTCGTTTCTGTGGAAGCCTGTCTTGGCCAGAGCCTCCGTTCTTTCTCCTGCTTCACAGTCGTGATGCGCTCCGTCGTCCGTTTCTCTGTGCGCAATTCCCGAAGAGCTGCCAAACGCGCACTCTTCTGCCCACGCGTCCTTCCGCATGCTTGGCTCTGCTGGCTGGCTGGCTGGCTGGCTGGCTGGCAAGCTGTCTTGATCAAGGTGTGGGCGGGTTGGCGGCAAGCAGCGGCATATAGAGGCGGACAGCGGTATCCGATCAGCGGCAAATAATAGCACACGCCCCGCGCCACCCTGTGCGACCGTCCACCGATCACCCCCTATTCGCCGCTCATGGCCGCTAAGCGACAAGAGAAACCTGTCGGTGAAACTCAAGGCTTCCTCTCAACAAAAAACGAATCGACTCTCTCGCGCCGCGTGACAAAAAAGATGTCTTGTTTTTCGCTATGTTCGGCCTCTCGGGGCCCTTTCTGGGCCGCCTTGGGACCGGCAAAAGGAACGACTCAACAGGTATCGCACATCTGGCGTCCTCCCGTTGGGGTCGCAGCGCATCCTCCAAGAAAGGTCGCGCGAGCCTAGTCGGACACGCGCCAGTGCAGAAGCAGAGGACGACAGGTCTTCACCGACACCGGCCATGGCCAGGCCCATCCTGGGCCCAGGATCGGTGGAAGCGCCTTCCTGGGCTAGCCACGACGGCGCGCACGCCGATCCTGGGCCCAAGACGGGCGTCGCCAGGATCGGCGCTGGTGCGAAATGGTCGCCGCCCGCGGGGGTGGACGACCGGAGGGAAGCATGGACGCCAGAGAGCCGGCGGGCGTGGCAGTCACCGCAGGGGGGGACAGAGACCGCC